TGACAGTGGTTTGTTGCTGACCTCATGCCATGTTAAATGACAGTGGTTAGCTGCTGACCTTATGCCATGTTAAATGACAGTGGTTAGCTGCTGACCTTATGCCATGTTAAATGACAGTGGTTTGCTGCTAACTTCACTCTTCATTGAATAATAGTAGTTTCCAACTGATATCATGGTACATTGAGAAACATTTTACATGAAAGTCAAAAATAAGACATATTAATTCTTCTGACTCCAGGCTTCATTCAGTATGACCTACTTTGGCTTTCATAAAAACTGCTATCTTGTATGATTTGTTTAATGTGTTCTCAATGTTTTGTGATTTTTGACTACTTGTAACTATGTATCCTTCGACTGGATGAACTGTAACTGGACACCATGCTCACAGAAATACAAGTGAAGTGGATTAAAAAAAGTAAAGAAAAATGTGAGAGGTCATGAAAATTGTTGTACCGTCAATTGCTGTAAGAATCAGAAACACTGTTCAGATGTAGTGGTGTAAAACTTTCACACAAGCTATTCTTTATTAACATTGATATGATGAGACAGTCATAAGTAATTCATGTGTCAGTAAAATGCATAGAATCGAGACAAAATCTATAAGTATGAGAAGCTAAAGGCAGAATGACATAGCTACCCACTGGGAATTCATCAGTTAGTAGGTGTTTGAAGTACTGGTGATATATCAGATTTCTTAAACAATCTGAAATAAGTTGTGTATGTTAATCAACTTTTACTATTAACAGGCCCCCTCATGAACCAGTGGTGGACATTTTTGTTGAAAAAAACTGCTCAATCCAGTGATATATCAGATTTCTTAAACAATCTGAAATAAGTTGTGTATGTTAGTCAACTTTTACTATTAACAGGCCCCCTCATGAACCAGTGGTGGACATTTTTGTTGAAAAAAACTGCTCAATCCAGTGATATATCAGATTTCTTAAACAATCTGAAATAAGTTGTGTATGTTAGTCAACTTTTACTATTAACAGGCCCCCTCATGAACCAGTGGTGGACATTTTTGTTGAAAAAAACTGCTCAATCCAGTTTTTCTTCATTTGAACTGAAATATTTTGGACATTTTATTGGCTAAAAAGAAAGCATTTCCCATACTCTTTTAGCACTGTGGCTGCAAAAGGTGATATGAAGTGGTAAGGTGACTGAAATCTGTCAGCACATAACAAGCTTAACAGTCAAGTACAAGAAGCATGGAAGTCTCCAAGTGACACACAGAGGTACCCAGGAACCATTTTGGTACATATTATGCAGCAAACCAAGTACAATATTATGCCTGTAGCTGCTTTCAAAGTGTTCCTGTCTGCTCATCATACTGCTGGTTATCATGATGCTTTGACCTTCCCACCAAATTTCAGGTGAAGTCATTCATATCTTAATTGAAAGCTAAACATAAAAAGGTGATAGCAGAAGCATAAAAGGTTGGCAGTTGCTTAATTAAAGATGCCAGTAATGTGGCTTTATTGGTATATACTGAATTTACTCCCAGTGGGTAGACCTTACTACTAGCTAATATGAAGACTTGATGATGTTGTATTTCACTTAAAAATTTATCAATTAAAAAATGAAACCTGGTCTCCAAGTTGTCTCAAAAAGATACATTCAAAACCAACCTCTTTAGGAGTTTCTGGATGGAACTTTTAATATTCAACAAATTGTAGTGTAAAGACATCCCTTGGCTCCTGAGGGACATGTTAAAACATCTCAACAATTCTTCTGGATCTCAGAGTAGTGGACTTTGTCTCATTTCATGGTTTGGCATGAGACCACAGATATATTCTTTTTTAAATCTTTTATGGATATTTTTATTTATATCATTATCTCTTTGATTATTGTAAAACGTTTTTGCAGAAGATTATAAACTGATTCATAGTATAATAAAATAGTTTACTGAAGATTCATCTATAGTTTGTATTTTTATTTAATATGAGTTCACTACTCTAGAAGTTTTAGAAAACTCTACATCTTTTTCAAATTGGCTACTATTTACTTACAAGCTGTCAGAGGATAAGTAGTGGTAAGTACATCTATGACTAGTTGTGCCTTTTCCATTCACTTTAGAACAGTATGAGTTAAGTTAAGTTTGGTTATAGTTATTTTTGGTAAGTACATTGTGGTTATAGTTGTGTTTGGTAAGTATCCATCTGGTTATACTTGTGTTTGATAAGTATCCATCTGGTTATACTTGTGTTTGATAAGTATCCATCTGGTTATACTTGTGTATGGTAAGTATCCATCTGGTTATATTTGTGTTTGGTAAGTATCCATCTGGTTATATTTGTGTTTGGTAAGTATCCATCTGGTTATACTTGTGTTTGGTAAGTATCCATCTGGTTATACTTGTGTTTGGTAAGTATCCATCTGGTTATACTTGTGTTTAAAAGATTTAATAAGGTTGGTTTCATCCCATTAATTTTTTGTAACAATTTTAAGTTCTGTTCCTAGTTTTAATTTTTGGAAGGATTTCATTTATAATTTCTTGGAAACCATTTTTAAGTGCTATACTTTTATTTTTTGGTATGTACTCATTAGGAAGTTGGAAAATTTCTTGATACGAAACACAGTGGACATTACAAAGTATACAACTTATGTAGTAAGTATTTTAGTAATTTAGGTATACAATAGTACTTAATTTAGATTTCTTTTTTAAATAGTAAGGTTATGACTGGTCTACCTTGGATCTTCTTTTTTTAAGTGGTAAGGATTTATGTTTGTTAACTATCAAAGATTGACTAACTTCTTTATGAAATATTTACTAAAATATGTATTAGTGATAATATGTAAATAAGTCTCACCTTTTAACTATATTGTGTAACTGTCAATAGTTATGTAAAATCAAATATTTTAATAGACATTTTGTTCAATAATTATAATCTCCGAAACAATTTCACCAAAATTTGTAAGTTTAAGTTTGTGCATTTAATTAGATATGTATCAAATAGTAAATATTTTAATCTTTTTGTATGGGTATTTAATAATTTTTATTTTTGCTAGGAAATTTAGATAATGCTCTAGATGAGCTACTCATGTGAAGATAAAGGGTTTTATGGTTGTTTAAAATTTAGATATTGTTCTAGATAAGCTACTCACGTGAAGATAAAGGGTTTTTTGGTTGTTTAAAATTTAGATAATGTTCTAGATGAGCTACTCACGTGAAGATAAAGGGTTTTATGGTTGTTTAAAATTTAGATATTGTTCTAGATAAGCTACTCACGTGAAGATAAAGGGTTTTATTGTTGTTTAAAATTTAGATAATGTTCTAGATAAGCTACTCACGTGAAGATAAAGGGTTTTTTGGTTGTTTAAAATTTAGATAATGTTCTATATGAGCTACTCACGTGAAGATAAAGGGTTTTTTGGTTGTTTAAAATTTAGATAATGTTCTATATGAGCTAATCACGTGAAGATAAAGGGTTTTATGGTTGTTTAAAATGTAGATAATGTTCTAGATGAGCTACTCACGTGAAGATAAAGGGTTTTATGGTTGTTTAAAATTTAGATAATGTTCTAGATGAGCTACTCACGTGAAGATAAAGGGTTTTTGGTTGTTTAAAATTTAGATAATGTTCTAAGATGAGCTACCCATGTGAAGATAAAGGGTTTTATGGTTGTTTAAAATGTAGATAATGTTCTAGATGAGCTACTCACATGAAGATAAAGGGTTTTATGATTGTTTAAAATGTAGATAGTGTTCTAGGTGAGCTACTTGTGTGAAGATAAAGGGTTTTATGATTGTTTAAAATGTAGATAATGTTCTAGACAAGCTACTCGTGTGAAGATAAAGGGTGTGCTGGTTGTTTATTTGTGCATTTTCATTATATTATTTGCCATGTCTCTTCTTCATCTTTACCAAAATGGCATTTGTCCAGAGTATTTTTTGCTTGTTCATGTCTGTATGGTTTTCAAAATTGTACAGAGTATCTTCTGCTAGATCATATCTATATTGTTTATTTGGAATTATCCGTAGTTTTTATACTTGTTTTTGTCTATATATTAGGTCATCAAGAAATTAATATCGCACCACCCCCAAAAAAAGTAAATCAC